GCCACTGTGTCAGGTGCATGGAACCAAGTGCTCTCCGCATATATCCCGTTTTGTCACAGAGAATATTAAAAAGACACATACTCAAGGTTTAATATAATTAATGAGTTTACTGCATTATCAAGGGACAGCCTTAATGAAACTGACTTTTTTCTTTTTTACTGCAAGTAGCTGAGAGATACAGTGACTTAATACAGTTAGGTGCTACTGTTTTGATTCATGTCAAGGTTCTAGCCCTTTTACTCTCCACTGCTTTAGTGCCATTGGTGTAAGTGTGGACACACTAAAAAAAGGCAAATAATGCCTTAGCTTTTTGATCCCTGGCAACCCTTCTGGTCATGGAGCACACGGAAGAGAACCACCACACTAAATTATGTGTGTGTGGGTGATGGGCTTCTTGTTAGCCACTGAATCTCACGTGGTTTAGGGGGAGAAAATGACTTGTACAGTATTTGTAACTTTTTCTTGCTTGAGATTATTTTAAAAATTAAAAAAATATGAACGATAGCCTTTCTGACATTGAAAACTGAAGTTTTTGAGAATCATCACTGGCAAATTTCAACATTATCTCTATAAATTCTTGTGCAGATTAAATGACATGTAATTTAATCAAATGCTTGACATTTAACCTGTGCTTAGTAATGGATAATAATTATTACTCCTATTTATTTGTCTGGCAGCCTATTAACTATACCCCTATGCATTTCACATGGAACCTGTAGGTTTTTTAGCATATCCTAGAGTTGGGATGATTTATACCAAGTTCTTATCCTTTGTTCAAAGAGCACAGGAGACTGTAGCAACCACTTAGGCTGTTATTTTGGTTAATATGTGAAAAGTATGCTCTGTTAACAATTTAAATGAAGAGGTTTTTTGGGTTTTTTTTGGTGTGTGGAACAGAAAGATGGTTCTACTCTTGGCAAAATGTTGTTGAACTATATTGGTCTTAAAGTGTTAATTGCCTAAAGTAAATATGCATTTCAATAGCGGAAATGTTAACTTTTATGATTCTTTCAAGAGATACTGGGTTTGGGTTTTTTTTTTTTTGGTTTAAAGAAATAAAAACAACTGCTAAGTTTCTCTTTTCACAAAGTGAGCAGCCCAAATCTTGAAATGAGTGTTTTTTTTCCCCTTTGAGATTTTACAAAACCAATGGACTCTCATAAGAACAAAGTGACAGGTTAAAATGAAAAGAGGTTACTCTAAAAAAAAAAAAAAATAAAAGTAGCTCAGTCAGCACTTTTTAGAAGCAGAGTACTGTGTGATATTTGACTTCTAATTAATTTTAACCATCTTTTTCTTTGAAAGAAGAAGGGATGAATATTATGGAGGGCTGCAAAAATATCTCTTTTGCATTTACAGCTTGACTTTTAGCTCATGGTTATCCTGCATGGAAAATTGGTCAAGCCTGGTCCAAATCTCAGTGCTAGTAATGTCATTTTTCTAGCCAATCTACCTCAAGGGAAAAAAGAAAAACAAAAAACTCTTTTTACTAAGAAGTAGCAGAGAAACCATTTATATGATTAAAAAATAATCCTGAGACATAGTCATTGCTTTATTTGTGAAACTATGAAGACAGTTTTAGTTCTAAGATAGCATCATTTATTAGCCAGATTTCTAAAGCAATGGATAAAACCATTGTGTCTGCTCTCCCTAAAGCTGGGTGTCTAATCGGCCTTAAAACTCCTCAGACTTTTAACCTCAAAGTCTCCCGGCTGGCCTGCCTCCCATCTTCATTGCTGCTCTCCTTCGGGCCGCCTCTCTCTTGGGATTAATGCAGCAGATGCTGTGTTCTTTCCCTGCCACCCCGTCACTTTTTATAACAGGCTGTGCATCCTCTTCTCTGCCACTAGTATTTCCTTCCTAAAAAACAAGTGTGATCTTGTCACTTCCTAGCTTAATAGCTTTCTGCTAAGTACTCCTGACACAGAGGCTGAAATGTCAACTTTTTCAAGGGCTGCTTCCATAGCTGTGTGGACAGGACCCCATGCTTACCCGGGCCTGTACTTGGGTCAATATCTGCTGCTGCCATCTGGAAACTTAATGATTTTCTATCTATGGGCTCTCCTGCATTTTCACATGGGGCCCTGCAAATTCCATGACCAGTGCTGCTCGTGATCATATCCGACCTCCACTAGCTTCCTGCTACAGAAGTTTTTCTTTCCACCTCTCCATGTATACCATGTGCTCCATCCACAGTGGTTCTTGCAGGATACGCCACAGTTTGCCTTTGCCTACTCTTCCCTTTCTCTGCATGCAAGAGCCCTACTTGACTACTCAATGCATATATTACCTGTTTAACATCCCACTCGGCAAGAGTGAGTTGCTTTCCCTTTGCATGCTTTGTTCATGTTTATTAGAGAGCAACAGTTGGTTCACTCATATCTCCTTCACCAAAATATGGTCTGCATAAGTGTATCTGCCATCATCCTCAGGGTGAAGTCTGACATGTAGGTACTGCTCAGCATGCACTTCGTGGATTTATTCATGCAAACCATGTTTATTGAATTCCTATAGTGGACTTGGTACTGCTGGTCTCTGAGAGTGGAGTGGGAGAGGAAAAAAAAAACAGACAGAGGCTCTGCCCTCAGAGAGCTGACACTTTAGCAAGGGAGATGCTTTAAAAAAAAAAAGATTTATTTATGCACACAAGAACTGGGGTACAGGCTGTAGGTGCAGGGGGTGGTGGTGAGGATTCACCAGAGACAGAGTGGGGAACAGAACAGGGAGATCTACTGAAGTACACTGCTGAGGGGAGCAGCGGGCGAGGCAGGAGAGGTCTGCTGCACCATGTGGGTAGCTCCCTGGCCAGGGATTGAACTCATGCTGCAGTGGCTGAGGATAGCTTCATATGCTACGTCTTAACGCCTTGCGCCACCAGGGAGGCCCCAGTGAGATGCTTTTTTTGGACTGCAAATGACTATATCCCGAATAAATAACTTCAGGTTTTACTTTAGAATGGGAAATCTTCTGCCTTCTTGGCAGAAGTGGTGTGATGGAATATTATAAGCACTGAGTACCAGAGGATCTTGCATAAGACAGCTGTCCTTGGTTTATTTTGTGACATTAAGGAGAAAGGTGAATGTCAGCAAGATTCTAGATTTCTTCCCTCAAATCTGAGATTCATTGATCATGAGACAATGATGTAGCTTAAAAGAATGAAGAACGAAAAACTCATTCCAGCAGGCCATTCATTGTAAGGCACTCTGACTTCAAAGAAAAAACGGGAATAGAAATGTGCATCTTGGGAATATGAGCATATTGGGGAAAATGGGCATCTTGGAATAGATACGACATAGTAGTTCAAAGGTTAATTGCAAATAAATTGAGTCAGGGAAATACTTGGACACTAAAGATGTGATTAAAATTAATATATCATGATTGATTCACAGATGATTCTGTAATAAATAATTCACTTTTAAAAGTTGAGTTAGATGTGTATGTTTAACTAGAAAAAAGATGTGCAGCTGATGCCAAGAAGAAAGTTAATCACACAGAAATACCTATAGTAGCCTCGCTATTTTGAAAAAAGCAACTTATGTAATGCAGTCATCTTTGCAGACCTTGGTAGATAAAGAAAACATTAGTGTAAACATTTACACTTTTACGAAATACATTTTCATGTGCGATGACTTGTGAACCTCACAAGAACTCTGCAGGGTTGTTTACAACCGAAGAAGTGGAATTCCTGAAGGTTTAAAAGATTTGTGTGTAGGGCTCTCAGCCATCAAGTCATTTATATTGAATAGTAAATATACTGTTAACATCAGTTAAGGAATCTTCTAGGTCAATTATTCTCTTCAGTTTATTCATAGATTCCTAGTTAGGGGCAATAGTTTTCATTGAGTCTAACTATGAATCAGATCTCTTGTGAACTAGATCTTTAGTTTGAGACATAAATCCTTTTAGTTCAAGAGTGGAAACCTATGTGGATTAATGCTCTGTAATGACCTGACATTGACTTTGACTGAAGAAAATTTTATCTTTGGAAGGGAAGCTGGATTTTAAATTAATTCTTTTGATATCTCATGGATTGCCAGAGAAGTATGCCTCACTTGCTGCTGACCTTGGCTAAGTCAAGTGAGAATGGGGTTAGTTGAGGGGCAAAAAGGGAGACTGTGTGGGGTGCCTCCTGTAAGCCAGTTGCTATCACTTGAACCTCACATAAATTGGGTAGTCTTACCTTCATTTTCACAAGACGGGGCTGAGGCTCAAAGAAGATATGTGACTTGCTCAAAGTCGTTTAGCAAGTAAGTGTGGAAATGAAATTGGTACCTACGTCTTGGTGACCTCAGAATCCATGCCGTCTTCTCGGAGGTGCTCACGGTGAAGCCAGAAGTAAACACTATACTTTACCTCAGATGAATTTTGTTTCTACAGAGACTCATTTCAGAATCTGTTATTTCCAATAGCTCTGTTTGGAACTTAATAGTCCTGTGCAAAGAAGAACACCCAGGTCTGTCTTGTATCACATTGTAGCTTTATTACTGTGTATTTTGGGTCAATTTTTAAATCTAGTGACTATTAACTATTAAGCAATTCTAAATTACAGTATGGTTGTATTCATTTTATTTTTATCTGATGAATTTATCAGACCTTAAATACTCTACAATTTAAAGACTTCTCCCAGAACTTAATGAAGCAGTAGTTTGCAAATAGGATCACAAAACCAGTGATATATTTAAAGAATATATAACATTATGATATGAATCATGTGTTATTATTTGTACCTAACAGCCTAAAAAGTAGTCATTACTGATTTATGAAAGGAGAATTGGTCAAGGAACATTCAACATTGGCTCTGTGACAACGTTAGAGGTTTTATTGCAGAACTATTATGTAGACTATCATTTCTTGGATGGTCTCAGGATTGCTTCATATTATCCTGGTTTAAATTTCCTATCGAGTTAAAAAATGGAGTTTGAAAGGATGTCATCAAAGGCTTTCATTTTAATTGCCATGTGTTAATTTTCCTTCTCTCCATTTGTGTTTTTTCCCTCTAGGAGAAAAATTTAAGGTGGACACAAAGACCATTGCTGTTGACTTTACCTCAGAAGATATTTATGACAAAATTAAAACAAGCTTGGCAGGCCTTCAAATTGGTGTTTTAGGTTTGTATCATTGCCATACATATGGATTTTTCTTGCGTTTATTGTTTGATTTTCACTATGAATGAACATTTCCTTTTTGAGTGTTAGCTGTTTACTTGATAAAATGACCAGTGAGAAGGAAATTGTCTTGTTAATAACGATTGACATTAGACGACGTTAAGCTATAGACATTTGATTCTTTTTGTTTTTCGTTATGTATTAACAACTATTCTACTTCTGATTGTTTTCCCTGCCTGATTTATTTCCGATCTCTTAATCTCTATATATTTAGATAGGGTTATTTTGTAGTATTCCTTTACGGTGGTGACACTGACCTCTTTTTACAGTTGAGGAATGTAAGCTTAGCAAAGTATCTCTGGGCCTCTTGTTCATTATCAACATCCTCTCCCCGACACCAAGCCTTTTTTGGGGACATTTTCCCCCATAACCTTCCCTCCTCACCATGAAATTTTGATACCACAAGTACACTGTTTATGTGCTTGTATGCATATCTGTGCCTTATATAGAAAAAGAGAAAAATGTTTCCTGTCCTTTCTTTAGAAACCTTTCTTCCTCAGACTGTAAAAAAATGGTCTCATATTTAATTTCTAAATAAGATAGTTACAACCAATTAAACACGTAAAACCCCACACAGTTCTGATTGAATATTTATTCACACACAAGTTTGCTTTTGATAGTTAGTTGGTTACATGTCAAATAAAAATAATCATAGCTAACGCTTACAGAACCTGTACTGTAGCACTTCCCATACACCATTTTATTAAGTGGCTGCACATTTAGCTTCCTTTCTACTTTACCACCACAGCTGTCTTCCTCAAACATAAACTTCATATAATTATTATTGACAGCCGCTATTAACAGCTTTCTTTTACCTCCATTGCAGTATAATTTTAATTTGTCCAGATTTTTTGACGGAACTTTAGGTGTTATGAACCAAATATTATTATTTGGTCATCTTTCAGCCCTAATCTTCTTAATGTGGGTATAACCTCTACAACTTGTGAGGGGTCTGGTATATACAGGTTTTATTTTTCTAATTATTTATATTTTTTAAAGATTTATTTATTTATTTAGACTAGCACTGGGTACAGTCAGAAGCGCAGGAGGATGAGAGAATTCACCAGAGCCAGAGCAGAGAGCAGAGCAGGCCGACTGAAGAAGTACACTGCTGAGGGGAGCAGTGGGCAGCAGGAGAGGTCTGCGCGCCATGTGGGACCCTCACCTGGTGGCCGCAGATCGAACCGGCGCTGCAGAGGCTGCGGGCAGCTTCACAACCCAGCGCTCAACCACTGCGCCACTGGGGAGGCCCAGTTTTTCTAATTATTATGTGAATCTGCAGTCCCTCCAACTTCTGTCTTCCTTCACCCCTCCCCGTCCAGATCCCACATACCCCCACTTCTTTCAGGAAAGGGGGAAAAACTTACCTATTCTCCCTCTTCCTTTGCTTACCATTAATCTCATCTCTAAAATTCACTGTAACAAACATATAGATTGATTTCTGTTAAGATCTAGCAATCTTGGGCCTCCCCTAGTGGCGCAGTGGTTGAGCGCTGGGCTGCGAGGCTGCCGGCAGCCTCTGCAGTGCTGGTTCGTTCCCCGGCTGCCAGTGAGGGTCCCACCAAAAAAAAAAAAAAAAAAAATCTAGCAATCTTATATTAAGTCATAGGAAGGATTTTTTTTCTACCTAATATTAATGAAACCACTAATGATAAAAAGAAAAATAAATCACCAAGGAACACTTCATTTGAGTTGCATTAACCGCCAAAGTATATTCTGTATTCAGTAAAGAAAATTATTATTTTCAGAATTACAAAGGAAAATGCCAAACCCCTTTGTCTTGAAAGACACATTAAGGTTTCAATAAGATGAGTGGAAAGAAAATGGCCATGAATTGTGTGAATTTATACTGAAAGGTCACCATAACTTGATAAGACTATAAATGCTTAAAGTTGAGAAGTTGGACACTTAACTCTGTTATGTAAAATGGGTAAGCATCTGCTGTTTTCTTTCAGGCAAATGCCAAGAAACACAGACTTGAGAAAGCTTAAAAAGCTTCAACTATTTAGAGAAAATGACATCAGTACTCCTTTGAATAAGCAAACAATTGGTTTACAAAATGAGATTGCTATAATGCTTACTTGATTCCTCAAGAGACACCGCTCCCTCCATGTGCTCCAGATTGGTTGGGAGGACTTTGTCCAGTATATCCCAGGAGGTGTAATTTTCCAAGGCCAAAAGAGTAGCCTGGGACTTGAAGTATGCAACACACAGTACTTTTTCCCCAATTCTACTACTATGAATTTTTTAACTTTTAAAAATTGACATCATCTGCACCTCCCTGGTGGCACAAGGGGTTAAGTCTCAGCTCAAGAAGCTATCCGCAGCCAATGCAGGATGGGTTCGATCACTGGCCGGGGAGCTGACCCACATGGTGCAGCAGACCTCTCCTGTCTCACAGGCTGCTCCCCTCAGCAGTATATTCAGTCACTCCACCTACTCTTCTCCCTACTCTGTCTCTGGTGAATCCTCTCCCCTCCCCATACCTCTGGCCTTGGATGCATACCCCAGTTCTTGGATGCATAAATAAAATAAATCTTAAAAAAATTAAAAAAAAAAGTGACATCCTTCATTCTAGATTTAAAAATAGAAAAGACCTCTTGAAAAAATAGTTAATTTCTAATTCATTAAAAAAATCAATCATCGCTTTATTCAAACTTTTAATGCATCCTAGACCAAGAGTTTACCCATGTCCAATGCTGTCAAGGTCTTCTCCATTCATGACGTCATGGTTTATATAAGTTGTAAGATCAAGAGAGTCACGGGGTAACCTGTGATACCATGTTGGTGATGTGTGTTCAGGACTATTTATTACCCATTGACTTTCTTCTGTCTATACACAATATCCAGAATTTAATAGAGGCATAATTTTAATAACTATGTATAGATAATAAATGCCAGTTGGTTGCCAAAAAAATCATTGATTGCACATTCTGGACTAGACCTTATTATTTCCTTTTCCTATGCCCTTTATAAGTGAATACTTGCTCCATTAATGTACTTGGTGGATTATTTTTTAGTGTCCTTTCCTTCCTTTTAGCTGAATGTAAAAATGTCTTTTTGCTGTCCTTGCCCAAGCAACCTTTATGGAAAATGCTTGGGAAGTAGTTGTCTTCTGCTAAAACCTAAATATTTCCCAGAATGTTCTGGAATGGAGAGGAGTCAAATTTTGGGAATATTTATCCTGAAAGTTAGTTTGGGCAATAATGAGTTCTTAAGATCAATCTACTCTAGTTCTGTTTTAGAGTTTCTTAATAAAAGAAACAGGTATATTATTAATTAGTTGGGGAAAGGATTAGTTAGCTTCCCAATGATGTATTAGCTTCTAGATAATTGGCATGGGATCCAGAAATGGGTCACGCCTTATAGTTCAGCTTCCCAAAATATCAGAAGAAGAGGAAATTGGTGTAGATCTAGGAGAGGGAGAAATGGGTCTACAGGAAAGGGGTTGAGTAAAACTTTTCTAGGATCAAAGAAACAAAAGGAAACTTGAGCACTGTAGGAACAAGGCATCTAGGTTTCCAGTCCCAACTGAGTAAGGAAATTACAAGTAGAAGAGTCTTGCTTCTTGCTTCAGAAGGTTTAGAAACATAAAGTTACAGAATATCTTGCTATTCTCAAGAATATTACTAATTAAAATTAGTTTTAAGTTGCCCTCTTTTGAAATGTAAATTTCTCTGGAAGAGCCAATGATACCTATCATTTACATCTTCTTGGGATTAGGACTTACAGTTTATTACCAGCATACTTTTCTGCTGGATCTATGCCTCGACAAATGACTATTTCATTTTTTATTTTTTTAAAAGATTTATTTATGCGTACAAGAACTGTGCCCTCTCCTTGCAGTCTGGACCCAAAATCACCCATCTTGAGCATCATCAGCGTGTTCACCAACCAGGGGACTCCACATACTTCATTCAGTGTACAGAGTTTTTGCTAAGGTTCCATTGTATAGACATAATTAACTGAATCGTTTGCCATGTGATGAAACTCGATTTCCAGACCCAAAGATTGTGCTGGGTCAAAGTGCCAGCCCTCCAGTCTATTAGTCTTTCTGCTGACCAATTTCCATCCTGACCCATCTGGTTAGCATAAACATGGATGAGATTGAGGTACCCATCATGAATGACAGACACTCCAGTCACCTTGGAAATTCCAAGGACCTAGAACCACCACTCCTGGAACCTGGAACCTGGAACAAAGACCAGTGTTACTTTACTATATGTAACCGCTCCTGTTTGTTTAATGATTCATTTACTTAATCATATGCTAATTCATTCAATCAGTAAAAATCCAGAGAGATAGCAGTAAATAAAACTTACATTGTGGCAGCTTTCCTGGAAGATAGTATGAGATCAGAGTCCCCAGACGGGTTAGATAGGCTTTACTCAATCAGTCCAGAGTAGGTCTCTTGTCACCTCAGTGTGGGAACTAGAGGCCAGTTAAGGCTGTAAGCCTTGGGAGCTCTATCACCATTACTTCAAGAATGCAGATTGTTTGGGGTTAAGACCAGCCAGGTCCCTGAAGGCTAGGAGCAGCTTCTGCCCTTGCCTAAGTTCTTCAAAGAGATCATCATGTCCTCTGCTTCTTCCCTTCTAATCAAAGAAGCAATCACTGCTCTCCCTCATATAATCTAGAACAATGTCCTTTGTGGGGGGGGGTCTCACCCAGTTCTAGGTTTATCAGTGAACGTATTCTCTGTATCTAAGATTCATCTTTATTCTCAGAATGAGGATGAGGTCATGCCCTCCTCATCTGTCTTGTGCAGTCTCCCCCTCCCTGTCCTGGACACCTCACACCCCAAACTGCAAGATAAATATCCCCAGTCCGCTCCATTATTCTTTAGAATTTTCAGCGATTACAGTAAATTCTCCATATATGTGCTATTTAATTGATTTGTTTTCCTTTGCTAACTTGTCTGATGTTGTTTTGATTAATCGTCC